GTGGACAGCAGGCAAACCAGCAAGGCCACCACGGCAGGTCAGGGGAGTGGGTGCGGCGTGGCAGAGGGGTACAAGAAAGATCTAACCCCACAGCTGATTCCAGAGTGGGGTGGACAGGTCTCCGTGCCTGATGGGAGGGGAAGGAGAGCAGGGGGACGGAAAGATGTCCCCAAAGAAGCCAGCTGGGGATCTGGGGTCGGGGAGGTCTGCTACAGAAACTGAGGCTCTGCCTCAGAGACTGCATTATGGGTGATAAATTCACGGCCAAGTTACTTTCTTATGAAGGTTACCACAGATACATCAGCGTGACAGGTGGGGCGTGGGGGAAGAAGGTTTGGCGGGTTCGAGTTGGAGCTGAATATTAGATTCTAGTCACTATTTGATTGATCTTTTAAACAATTCTGGGATTCTGTCACTTAAAAACCAATAAATCTTTGAAGGCCTGGGGAAAGCAATGCAAAAGCAATAAATCTCCATTGTGGAGTATTAGAAAAATAGGCCAAGCTTCCGAGGTGGTTTGGATGGAGGGATGGGGGTGCGGGAGCCCCACAAGACAATCCGCCCTTGTCCTCCTCACCTTCCTGCAAGCTCTGTTCGACCAGGCAGAGCCAGACCCCTGGCGCTTCCCAGGGGCAGCCAGGGGCAGAGCAGGGCTGGGGTCCAGCTGAGCCAGGGCCAGAACACAGCTGGCAGAAGGCGGGAGACAGCTGCATGGGCAGGGCCTGCAGCCGAGGCTCAGGAGTGAGGCTACTGGAGGACCGGTAGCTCTGCTCAGGCACAGGGTGGGGTTCACAGGTTACAGGCTGGGCCTGGACCACCCTAGGCTGGAGGGCCCCTGTGAAGTCACCTTGCCTGCTCCAGCATCCCTAGTCAATGGGAGGTCACTCCACAGCCCCACCAAAAGGTTCCCGAGTCTTCACTTGACATCCTGGGCAGGGAATACAGAACCTCTGGAGGGAGCAATGAACTCAGAAGCAGGAAGCAAGGTCCACGCACTGGCTGCATGGAGAACGAGCTCCGTGACCTTGAGCCAACCACTTAGCATCTCAGACCTCATCTGATAGGGAGACGGTACTTTTCCCTAGCTGACTCCCTGGGTAAGCGAGGACCACATGATACAATGGCATTAAAGGAGCTACCAACCATAAAACACGATTCCAGGCGTCTATGACCCAGTCCATCCAGTGGGCTCACTGTGTCCCATGGTTTAGAGAGCCTTCCCTGTCTTCTTGACGCCTGTGTTTCTCTGACCTGTGGGACTCCTCACTGCCCTGCTGGCCAGGGATGTTCTCATCCCTCTGGCCAGTCCAGTTCTCTCCATCAGTACACTGTCCTCACAGGCTTCACAGTATCTTGTTCTGCCAGTTTCAGTTCTGTATCTGGTTACCTGCTCCATGCCCCGCCCCCTCCCTGTTCGCACGCACGCTTGCAGGATACTAAGCCTCAAGAGGACAGGTGTGTATCTACCTTGTGTCTTGCTCTATCCCCATTACTGAGCTCAGCTCCTGGGACATAGCAAGGGCTCAGTAAATATATGCTGAATGACCTAATGGTCAATTCCTCCCAGATGGGCATCTTAATGCCTAGAGTTCAGGCGAAAAAGGGTTCAGGGAACTGAAATCTTCTGTGACATTGCCGCTGCTGTCATTGCCGTTAACCTGGAAGTCATGCAGGCCGGCTCTGGTTAGTTTCCTTCCCTTTTTGGCAAATGCCCAAGCAACGGTCTGAAAATAATTCCCGAAACGGAGCGTACACCCACCCTCCGAGATCCAGAGCCTTGGGAAGAAAAGCAGCCAGACATTTCCAGACACCAAGCATTGCCCCTTTGAGCAGTGACATTTAATTTTTTTTTCCCCAATGGAAATGTCACCAAAATATGTCATGCACAACTTTCTCCTTGGGAGGTAGTATGAAATGAGCGCTGGCTTAGGGTCAGCTGAACTGACTTTAAATTCTGCCTGTACCACTGCTTGCCTGGGTCAACTTACTTGGCTTCTATTTATCTCAGTTTCCGAATCTGCAAAATGGGGAGATGATTATTGCAATGTTTTGAGGATACAGAAAGTTGATGTACAGCGACAGGCATGTAGCAAGGGCTTCCTCATTACACGGAAACTAGCAGGCTCTTTTCACTTAAAGACACGGAACCTAATGCTACATTTTTAGTTGAACCAGAACAGTGAACAAACATGCCTGGCTGTGACAGTCTGCAGGGGCCACAGCAGGTCGACCTCCCGGTTTGCCGAGTCATCTGTGATCGTCTCATAGACTCGCCCTGTTTTTTTTTTGTTTGTTTGTTTTTTGTTTATTTATTTATTTATTTTTGCTCCCTGCTCACTGTCCTTTCTCGCTGCTTCTGGGTCACTTCCATTCCTACGTCCTAATTTACTGCAGTCTTAGGATGCAATGGGCTTATTGAACAGATATGCAAATGGAGAGCATGCAGGCCCAGAGGGAAAGTGTAAGGGGCCCTTCTCTGGGGGCAGCTGTTTCCAGCTTCCCCATGAACACTGGTTGGGGCTGCTTAGAGGGACCCCTTTGCTGGTCTCTGGAGTTGGGCGGGCCTGGGTGCTAAGTCCCATCTCATCACTTACTTACTGGCTCTGTGACCATGAACTTTTAGTCTCTTCATTTCTAACAGGAATATAATAATACGAATAGGTTAGTCAAAGTTAAATTCTTGGAATATGACAGTTGCCTAATAAAACACAGTGATAATTACTCCCATCTGTGTTCAGCTGGGCTTGATGGGTTTCCAGAGGCTCATAGGTAGATAACCTGATTCATCTTGAGGATGGGACCCTGGACCCTCTGTAGAAAAATCATCTTGATCCTGCCACGGGGCAAGACCAAGAAGGCTTATTTCTCAGTATAACTTTTGTCTTAAAAGAAGTTTCTCCGCAACTTTGCGCTGGGATAAAGTTAGGGAGTCCTAGGTAAAAAACAAAGCCCTTTCTTTCCTACCACGGAATCAGTTAGGGTCTCGAAAAGCTCTGGAAATTTGAACAGGATAGAAGTCCCATCTTATCACTTACTGGCCCTGTGACCATGAGGAAGCAGGCAACTCTGTGACTCCATAGTGATGGTTGATTTTCAAAAAACTATTCTGAAGAGAACCTCCTGAGTGCCACAAAGAAGAAGCAAAGCCAACGAAGGAAGAAACCCTTGAAGGTCTCGCTGGCTTTTGGCATTTCCATATTTTATCTGGCCTCTACGAAACAGCTACCCTCTATGCATTCCTGGTAAGGAAAACGGAGGATCAAGGAGATTAAGTATCTTTCCCAAAGTCATCCAGCACTGTTGGAGCAGGATCTGGATCCAGGTCAGCTGTCACCAAGGTCACATCCTCTCCGTCACCCCACATGGCTGCTAGCAGTCAGCAGCAAGCTAGAGAGAATCCGCACCTGCCGGGAGCCGTATGGTGGGATGCTAGCTGATGAGGTCGCCTGGCTCACAGTGATGCAAGGGGACACCGGGGTCTCCAATATGAAGGCCTTAGGCTTTCGGTCAGATCTGGCCTGTGTGCCTGAGTCAGCTGCTAACTTGCTGTGCAGTGTTGGGCAAGCTATTCCTTTTTCCCAGAGTGTACTCTTATCACCTGAGAGGCTCTCTTAGATTTTGAAATAGTGACCAGTGCTGCCATATGGAAGGCTAAGAGCTGGGAAAGGGAGAGAGGCATTGGTGGCCCAAGGGGAACACATGATTTGGCACCCGGAGGACCTGTATTCGAGTTCAGATTTCCTACCCATTCCCATGGGCTCTTGAGCATTTCTGAGCCTTGGTATCTTCACGTGTACATGGGGACAATCACTTACAGAACATACATAGACAGTGCAATCCGTGTACAGAGAGAAGCAAAGGACCACATTGCCTGAGAGTAATGGGAAGAAAAGCCGTGAGTCAGGCAATGATTCATCTGAGGGAACAGCCACCACCTACTCGGGCTCATCACAGATAGGACGGTCCCGGAACAACCCACGCAGAGAACACAAGGCAGAGCTTCCATGGTCAGGCGTGCCACGAGCACTACACATACCTGTTGGAAGGTCTGACTTAGAGTCAGACCCTGTTCGGAATCTTTAGAATACACAGCAGCTTCCAATTGCTGCCCGTTGATTCTATTTCCTCTGCCACCTACGCTTCCTGGGTCGAGCTGGATCCAGGTTGGAAAACCAAGAACCAGATCATCTCAATAGAATCCATCCTGGCTGGTCTCCCTGTCTCCAGCATCATAAACGTGACACTGCAGGGGGCTAGCCCGTGGCTCCCCCAAGACCTCAGAATTGGCCCTTATTCTCACCCGACCGTTCCTGCCTCGACCTTTATGCTAAAGGAAAATCTAGAGCCTTGGATTAACTGGTCCCGATTGCTCCTCACGATTTCAGGTGGCTTCTCTCCTCCCGGCCTTGCTCATGCTGGACCCTTTTACTACTTGGCAAAAGAGAGCTTAGTGTCACTGCAGACTGTCAGCTGGGAATGTCTTGTCTTCCCTGAGCTCTCATAATGACCTATGTATATCTCCATCAACACGCACTGTATTGTGATTATGTGCTCATGCTTCTTGCTTCCCAACTCAAGTGTGACTTTCTTCAGAAAATGACTTATTCCCAGCTAGTTTGGTACTGTCTCCCAAGCAGTTAAACAGTGCCTGGCCCTGAGTGAGTGCCCAGTAAATGTTTGCTGAAGGAATGAGTAAACAAATCCTTTTGATCCCTTGTGCCGCACTCATTCCCCACATATGAGATGCTCCAAGTGTGCTTGTTGAACTGGGAGGAGCCAATTTTTTTTTTTTTTTGAGTAGGTTCCCCGCCCAGCATGGAGCCCAACATGGGGCTTGAACTCATGACTCTTGAGATCAAGACCTGAGCTGAGATCTGAAGTCAGATGCTTAACTGACTGAACCCCGCCCCCCACGTGCCCCCGAACTGAGCCAATCTGAAAGCTGTACCCTGGGGCCAAGTGTAGTGGTTGGCATAGCCCAAGTGACGAAGGCTGCTCACCTGACAGGGGCTCCCCGTGACTGAGCGGGCTTCAGCATCACCGTGATGGTCGTGTCCGTTTCATTCAGTGGGGTGTCGGTGTCGTACTCAGGCATCGACGGAGCTGGGCAGAGAGCAGAGAGAGGAGGCCACTCAGCACAGGTCTCAAACCCAGCTCACCACCTCCCTTTGCTGCCATCCCTAAAGAAACCGACATGACCAGTAGGGGGTCATGGGGGAACTGGCTGGGGTTGGGTGAGAGTCACAGGGCATCCCAGGCTTTCAGCAGAGCCTGCTCTCCTTCCAACCTGCCTGGAGGTCCCTTCCAGGTGCACAAGAGTCTGGGGAAGGATGTCTGGGAGGTGGCCAGCAGCCCTCAGGAATCAAGTCCCCCACCAAATAAACAGATAAAAGCAGGAAGTCCAAGTACTTAACAAAGACATGAAGGCAGAGTCGACCTTGTTCAACATATTTGAAATGCAAATTACAGCAGTGATGAACTAGTTCCTCTTATCCTTTTGCTCCCTCTCTCTCCCTCTCTCTCTCACTTTTTATGAGACCCTTCTTTCCCTCAGCCCCAGCTGATAGAGGAGTACGAAAATCTAATCCCTTGGGAAGGTAATCTAGCCGTTTGTATTAAGAGCTATTAAAACCCACGTCCCTTTTAATTCAGTCTTTCTATTTCTGGAATTTAGTCCTGAAGTTATAATCCAAACCAAGGAATTAAACTTTATTCTGTAACATGTTTATTGAAGCGTTATGGTATAAAACCACGGAAGCACCGCATACATCCAACCACTGGGGAATGTTTAATTAAATTAACGTCCATCCACTTGACAGAACATTATCACGAAAGCAATGTACCAACATGAAAACGCTCATGGTATAAAGATAAGTGAAAACATTAAGCTGCAAAAACCACTGTGGGTATCTGTGCAAAGTATGTATGTATGCAGGCCAGAATTGCACAGGTATTCTCAAAAAAATGTAAATTGTAAAATGGGATCAGAGATAATTCTCTACTGATGTTGCCTGGCGGTGGAGGGGGGCCATCTCAGGGACAGCAGGGGACATCTCAGACCTCCGTGGCTTTACACTAGTCATTCCTTCCCTCCTTCCTTCATTCATTCTCACACATTTCATGAGAACTTGTGCTGTGCCCTGTACTGACAAAAAGAACTTTGCTGAAATCACATTTTTACAAAACAATACAAATTTGTATGAGAAAAAAATGTACTATTTAATGCAATTGTGTGGTAAATTATTTGGTGAAATCACTTAGGGTTCCTGCTGGTCTAGTCTAATTAGCATGTTTTTTACACTTTAGGAAGTTCGCGATTTTGGTTTACTTCACAAGACTACAATGCTAACACATTAGGGACTGCATCGTCCTAATTGCTCCATACCACGAGGTGACAGCCGGCTCCGCCCTTTTATGCTCCTAGGAAAATTAGGAATGGGGGCGGGGGGGACCGAGAACACGTTTCTTCCCTTTCCCCTTTCTATGAAGAGGTTAGATACCTGAAATTTTGGTGGCAATCCTAGTGGTGACAGGGGGCCCGAAGCCCTTGGCTGTGCTGGCCTTGATGGTGAAGGAGTACGTGGTGCCCGGGTACAGCCCCACGAAGAGGTGGTGGGTTTCATTCCGGAGCTTGAAGACCTTCCCCCGCTGGCTGGAGAGGTCGGCACTTGGGTCCAAGGAGCCCACGGCCTTGTAGTTGATCTGTAGGACAAGCCAGGGAGCAAACTAATAAATACGTCACTCGGAAAGCTAGATGGAGCTCATCCAGGGGAACATCGGGAGAGGAAAGGCGAAAGAGGCACGTGGACTTGACAGCAAGTTCTGCCGTGACTGTCCACCTTACACATTAACCCAGCCTTGAACACTCCACTGTTGATACACGGGAGTGCGGCGGCCCAGCAGAAACAGACTGTGAGCCACACACCTGCCTTTCAGTCTTCTCGTGGTCACATGAAAAGAGGAGAAAATAAAGAAGAAAGTAACATTGATTTTAATAATATATTTTGTTGAGCCTGGTATTTGCCAAGGTTAATCATTTCAACAGGCATGAACCTAAAAATGTAACACGGTCTCTTATATTCTGTTGTTCAATATGAGGTCTTGGGAATCTAGTATGCAGCCTGTCCATTTGGACGAGCCCCATTTCCAAAGCTCAGTGGCCACGCAGGGCCGGTGGCTGACCTATCGGGCAGCCCCAAGAGCGGCGTTTCCATGCGGCATCCCATAAGGATGGTTTGGAAGGCTCATTAGAAAGTCAGTTCCCATGTCCCTTAGTCCCCACGGTGCCCTCTGGGGTTTTCTTATGTGTTATCTTGTTGCTTTTCACCAAACCTTGGGGCCTCCAGATACTCATTCTCATTTTAATATTGGAGACACTGAGGCTGGACTAGAAGTAACTTGCATGAAATCAGCACTTTCCAAACTCTCTCCGGTGATGGCCCAGTTCTGTGTTTCTCAATCCCCTGCTGAGCCATCCTAAGCTGCAGACCACACCGCCGGGGCGAACTCACCACGTATGAGTCTGGTCAGAGGCCAGACCGATCTGCACTCTGCAAGGAGCCAGGTCCTCTCGCCCCACCCTTGGGTGTTGCCACAATGTCAAGGTCCTATGAGAGTTTCTAAGCGCTTGCTCTCCATTTCTGTACCTACCCTGCTGTGAAAGGAACCAGACGGGGGCATCCCAGCACCCGCCCCCACAGATCACATTTTGAGGGCCACATTCCTAAATCAGACAGCTGTTAAAGTGACAAACACAGGACTGTGTGTTCGTTTCATCTAGTTTGTTCCATTAAAAATGTTTTATTAGAGTATAACGTGCATACAGAACACTCTACAGTTCAGTGAATCCCTACTAACTGGACACAGGCCGATAACCCAGCACCCAGTCAAGAGACAGACCACCACGGGAGCCAAGACAGAGCCCGCATGCCCCCCTCTGAAGCCGCTCCCCTCCCCCAGTAGGATGACCTCTATCCGGACTTCTAACAGCACACACTAGTTTTCCCCTGTCTTGCACTTTATATAAATGGAACCGTACAGGGCGCACTCTTGCGTGTCTGGCATCTTTCACTCTGCATTATGTCGGTGAGACCCACGCAGGCTGTCACGCGTCACTAGAGATCACGCGTTCTCATGGTTATGCGGTGTTCTGCCGCCGACATGTGAATAAACCCAGGCCTGCCGCATCTGAACGCTATGCTCCTTATTCTAGAAGGAGCTGCCCGGCTGGGAGACAACACGTCGTTGCGTAAAGAAGGCATTCATCCATCTACTCGTCCCCTTATTTGCTCCTTCCCAAACGTTGCCCGCGCAGGCCTGTGTTCTGGGACCTGCATTGTGCTCCGCTGGGTACAGCCCAGATCAGTGCAGGCTGGACCCTGTGCCCCGGGTGTCTTCCACTCCAGAGCGAGGTAAGGCAATGGCACGGTCACCTTACATCACTCTGTCTTCTGTCAAGAACTCAGCCTTGATGGGAAGAGCAGAGGCAGACCGAAACAGGAACGTACCAACTTTCCATCCAAAATCAGCAGTCTGCTATTTCTGGCAAGGGCACCAGACATTTTGGAGACAGAGGTAACTTCTCAGTCCTCCGTCCAGCAGTAGCAGGGCAGCGACTGATGTCACTGGCTGAGGAGCGAGGCCACCTGCTTGGGGCAGAGCAAATTGTGGAGGAGGAATCCAGAGAGCTGAAGGTTTTGGGCTGTTTGCAAGCAGAGCTTCCAGCCAGGGGTCCCTGTGTTACAGGTCCCTGGAGAACCTGTCCCCAGCTTTCCCTCTGGTCACCTCTGCCTCCTCCAGGCTTCTCGGAGGAAGGCACAGCAAACATCAGCCTCTCTGTCTGTGAGGGCCGTTCTGAGGGCAGGGAGCATTCACAGGACGCTCTAGGTAATCAGCATCCCGGCAACCAGACTGAAGGCAGGTGATGCACACACTCTCTGGGCTCCTCCCACGTGATACCCCAGCAGCATCCCAGGGGACTTCCTGGAGGGAGTCTGCTCCAACTGCCTCCAAAGGTAGCCAGCTGGGGAACACGTCCGCCACTGGCTACCTTCCTTTTCTTCCCCACTCCCGCCTCTCCATCATCTACTTGTATTCCAGTCTGTGTCTCAGGGTCACCAAACTAAGACAGTGTGCTCATGGAGATTTCTCAGGGGAGAAGTGAGCTGACATCCGAGGATGACAGTCAGAGGTAAGAGCATTCCAGGTTCCCCGCAGAGGAAACTGCCTGGGCGAAGGCCTGGGGTGGGAACACGCTCGGGAGGACGAGGAGAGCCCAGTGTGACCGTGGGGTGGTGAGCAAATGGGGGAGCTGAACCCCCAGGGCGCCGCTGGAGGCCAGTTTCCTGGGGCACAAGAACAGAGACATCCAGAGAACTCTGCGGGGGGGCAGCCAATCCCAGTGTTCCAGGTGCTCCTGCAGCCTTTTGAAATTCTGCCCCTATCCCCCTGCCTGGGCTGGTGGCAACCACACTGATATACAGACACCGGGAGGTAAAACTCATGCCTTATTTACTAGCCAATTCCTTTCCTGCGCTCCAAATTCAATCCAAAAGCGACTCAATTTCCACCGAGCTGTCAATATAATATACCGTGCTCCCCTGCTCTCCTAACCTTTCCTGGTATTACAGGATCCTCACTTACTTGTAATGAAACACTATGAATAAATCAATGTATGTTAATATAGCGTGTCTTCAATTTTTTATGAAGGGCTTCACCAAATCTAATTCCCACTGCTTTGTCAGAAACAGTCTTTGAAAAATTTAACTTGCGAGTTTTACGAAGTTAGTGGGGGACCGGGCTGGGGAGGGAAAGCCAGGAGGTGAGAAAATTGGAATGGGATGGAGCTGTGGCCATAAAATGCATAATGCAATGTGAATCTTTGGAACTAGAGGAAGGGTAGGATTTGTTAGAATAGGAAACATAAAGTAAAGAGTTAGTGGGGGAGAGGGTGCCAAGCTGCCTGTCAACCCGGGTCTCTTTTGATCACTGTCAGGGAGATTCCCAGCCAGAAGCCAGAGTGAGGACTTCATAAGGAGAATCCTGTCATGTTACCCCTTAGAATCAAAAAAGCAGTGGTTTCCCATTGCTCCTGGGATCTAGAGCACATTCTTTTTTTTTTTTTTTAAGATTTTATTTATTTGACAGAGAGAGAGATCACAAGTAGGCAGAGAGGCAGGCAGAGAGAGAGAGGAGGAAGCAGGCTCCCTGCTGAGCAGAGAGCCTGATGCAGGGCTCAATCCCAGGACACTGAGATCATGACCTGAGCCAAAAGCAGAGGCTTTAACCCACTGAGCCACCCAGGCACCCCCTTTAAAGCACATTCTTACCCTGTGGTTTTCAACAGCTCTCTGCATGAGCTGGCCTCCTGTGCCCTCCCTCTTATGTTCCAAAGCTCTATTCCAGTGTCTAAAAAGAGCTATGGTTCCATTGGCCACAGGGCCTTTGCACCAACTATTCTGTCTGCTGAGAACACTTCTATCCTTCCCATGCCTTCTTTTTACCTAATTAATGACTGCTCATCCCTAGACCTCCCTTAAAATGACACTTCAACCAATTAATGGACACCAGAGGGGAGGTGGGTGGGAGGATGGGTGAAAGAGGTGAAGGGGATTAAGAGGACAGTTATCACAATGAACAGTGACTGATGTACAGAAATGCTGAATCACTGTCTTGTACACCTGCAACATGTAACATTGTATGCTAACTATACTGAAATTAAATATATATATATTTTATATATGTATATATGTATTTGTGTGTATGTGTGTGTGTGTATATGTTTATACACACACACAAAAATATAGGCACCCTCCCCCTGCAAATGACACTTTTCATGAGTGCCTTCTCCAACTCTCCCGGCCTCCTTTTTTATGTTCCCAGAAGAACATCTCTTTCCTTTGAACCACTGACTTTACAACAAGCCATGCAACTATTTCTTTCATGAGTCCCTTTTCCACTAGCCCAAGGGTTGAAAAAGTAAAGCCCGGAAGCCAAGTGTGTGTCACCATGCATGCTGGTACATAGAGGTCTCCGGGAGCACAGCCACGCCATTCAGCCATGGATCACTGTGGCTGCTTCCACGCTACCGGGGGAGGGGGGGGGATTAAGTCATGGCAGAGAGAGCATGGCTCATACCATGTAAAACATTACTCTCTGCTGCTTCATGGAGAAAATCTGCTGACCCTCGTAGTAGACTTTAAGCTCCGCAAGGGCAAGGATCTTACCTGGGTTTTGTTCCACGTGGCTTCCCCTCGCATGTCTGAATGAATGACCCAAACAGCTGTGTGGTGTGAGCAACTAGCTTCACTTCTCTGAGCTTAGGGTTCTTCAAGGGTTAAATAATCATTTAAATTTTGGTTTCTGTTTGACGTTGCAAAGCGACCCCTGCTTCTTTTCTGTGGAAGGCAGCCTCTTTGATCAGGAGTCAGGACCTCCAGGGGGGGTCCATGAGCCCCTTCTGCCTTTGTAGCAAGGGTCCGGCCACCACGGACTGTGGGTCACCTTGTGAAGAACTAGCAGCCTTTCTAGCCTGGGCTGCAAAGGACGGAGCAAGACAGGCAGGGAAAACAGAAGATGATTTCCCTTGGAGGGCCCCACCAGGAAGGACCTGTCTGTTTCTTAAACATGCTCTAAGCTGTGCTGTGGTCCAGGCACTGGGCTGGGTACTGGGTAAAGGCAGGCAGAGCAGCTGATGAGATTCT